ATATGTTAATCAGTGTCAGATGCTGGATTCCAATTCATTTTTAGTGTGCCTGTATGACTTTTCCCACATCCTTTAATTAAATTTATATTACTTGTTAAAAAAAAAAAAACTGGAAAATAGCTGTGATTAATAATATTCATCCTTTGTGTGAAACATCTTTGTTTTTTCCTTTTTTTTTTTGAGATGGAGTTTTAGCCTGTAGCCCAGGCTGGAGTGCAGTGGCACAATCTTGGCTCACTGCAACCTCTGCCTCACAGTTCAAGCAATTCTTCTGTCTCAGTCTCCTGAGTAGCTGAGAAAAAAGGCACATGCGACCACATCAGGCTAATTTTTCTATTTTTAGTAGAGATGGGGTTTCACTATGTTGTCCAGGCTGGTCTCGAACTCCTGAACTCTTGATCCACCCATTTTGCCCTCTCAAAGTGCTGGGATTACAGGCATGAGCCACCGTACCTGGCAAGAAACACCCTTTCTGTTATAACTTAAATGGTGCTCTCTCTTCTTATATATCACATAGGCAGATATACACTTTACACATTTTCTTCCTGTTCTCATTTTTAAAAATCAGCAGAATTTGTCTTCACTGCTCTACATAAAATGTTACTTAATCAAAGTTTACCGAAGTTAATTTTTTTTTCCCCACAGCATCCTGAACGTTGAGCTACCCTCACTGTGAGCCAGCATACAACCCCATTTCATGACCCTCCTAAGAACGTGCTGACTTCACTGTAAAACATTCTCTGGTCTAAAATCTGATTTTATCACCCTCCATTTGCCATTCCCCTCCCACCTGTTTTCTAATCTTGTTTGTTCCTCCCTAGGAAAGAGTCTCTGTCTGCCTATACTTTACAAGCCATAAAGATCTTATGGTTGGTACTTATTCTTGTTGCAATATTTTTTGGAATTCAATTATTATTATTTTTTTACATAAGTCTAACTTTTATTTTATAAACTCTAGAAAGTGTCTCAAAACAATAACAACTTCGGCCAGGTGTGGTGGCTCACGCCTATAATCCCAGCACTTTGGGAGGCCGAGGCGGGCGGATCACGAGGTCAAGAGATAGAGACCATCGTGGTCAACGAGGTGAAACCCCGTCTCTACTAAAACTACAAAAATTAGCTGGGCATGGTGGCACGCGCCTGTAGTCCCAGCTACTCGGGAGGCTGAGGCAGGAGAATTGCTTGAACCCAGGAGGTGGAGGTTTCGGTGAGCCGAGATCGCACCATTGCACTCCAGCCTGGGTAACAACAGCGAAACTCCGTCTCGGGAAAAAATAAATAAATAAAATAAAATAAAATAAAATCACCCAGCCATAAACACACCTGAGAAAAAATGTTTCAAGTCATTCTGACAAAGAAAATGGTAAATGAGAATTTTTAAGAAATGAATATATTAATAGATTTTAATTGTTTTCTAAAACCCTCTTCTTCTATGCCCTTTGCAAATATTTTTGTGCCTTTTAAATGTTACTAATTAAATGCAATTTACAGTTACAAGAAACTAAAGTCAAAATAAGTGAACAAATGTTTACAAGGTGACAAACCCATACAGTGACAGTGCTGATTAGAAAACAGATGTGTCTGACCTATATGTCAAGTCAGGCCATTCAATCACTTGAAAGATTCTCCCACTCCATCCTGCTCACTAAACTTCTCAATGTCCAACCTCTCAACAGACACTGCAATTATGCTCCGGTAACTGCCCCAAGTTCATTTTACTTTGCAAGTTCTTGCACCATCTCACTGGGGTGACTTTCTTTTTTTCTGTCTTGTGGGATACTATTTTTTCTTTCACAAATCTTAGAGGATCCAGGGGGCAAAAATTATTTCTGTTTTTCTTTCAATATCAACATCTGACCAGCTGACCAGCAATGTGTCATCTCCAAGGAACAGAAGCTGGGTTAGGCGAAGTCAATCTGAATGTCTCAAGCAGCTAGCTTTTCAAAGAAAGAATACACCAGGAGATTGCACTCAGTCCCAGGGTATCTACCTGCTTCCTCGGAGGATACACATCATACCTCAGGTTGTCCTATGAGAGAAAATGAGCCAAGAGCTATATTCATGAGACACTCTAGCCAACACAGCCACCATGGTGGGCATCTTGGTTTTCCCCAGACAGTACTGAAACCCAGGACCAGAAAAAAAACCTGAAGAGTGGTTGATGACCCAACACTCCATAAAGTTACCAAATGGAAACCTTGACCCAACAATATATGTATTTTTAAACAATATTCCTATAAGAACTCTGCCTAGGGAAGATAAAAGCAAAAGAGGCAGAGATTTTTTTGTAATACAGTGTCACGAGTTATTATTTGGTTTATTCTCATAGGAAATATTCACTAACAGAAGACAGTTTTTAAAATAGTGCCATCAAATGCTTGTCAAAATATTATTAATTGGAATCTAATAAAATGGACAATAAAATAAGTAGTTGATAATGTGTACTACAAAGGGAAAGTTGGCATTTGGGAATGTCAAAGCCACTAGAAATTTAGTATTTTATTGCAAATCAGAGTTGAGCTGGAAGAACAGGGAGTAAGGGGTAGACTTGAGACCCTGCTTGGGGACACGTATGAAAAATGCAGGGAAGCCCGGCGCGGTGGCTCAAGCCTGAAATCCCAGCACTTTGGGAGTCCAAGGCAGGTGGATCACGAGGTCAAGAGATCGAGACCATCCTGGCCAACATGGTGAAACCCCGTCTCTACTAAAAATACAAAAAAAATTAGCTGGGCGTGTTGGCCTGTGCCTGTAATCCCAGCTACTTCAGAGGCTGAGGCAGGAGAATTGCTTGAACCCAGGAGATGGAGGTTGCAGTAAGCCGAGATTGTGCGACTGCACTCCAGCCTGGAGCCTGGCGACATAGTGAGACTCTGTCTCAAAAAAAATAAAATTTAAAAAAAAAAGAAGAAGCCGGGCGCGGTGGCTCACGCCTGTAATCCCAGCACTTTGGGAGGCCAAGGCAGGTGGATCACGAGGTCAAGAGATTGAGACCATCCTGGTCAACATGGTGAAACCCCATCTCTACTAAAAATACAAAAAATTAGCTGGGCATGGTGGCACGTGCCTGTAATCCCAGCTACTCAGGAGGCTGAGGCAGGAGAATTGCCTGAACCCAGGAGGTGGAGGTTGCGGTGAGCCGAGATGGCGCCATTGCACTCCACCCTGGGTAACAAGAGTGAAACTGGGTCTCAAAAAAAAAGGAAAAGAAAAGAAAAATGCAGGGAAAAAGAAGTCCCTGTAGACCGTGAAAATGATTCAGTGGGCCGGGCGCGGTGGCTCACACCTATAATCCCAACACTTTGGGAGGCCGAGGCGGGTGGATCATGAGGTCAAGAGATCCAGATCATCCTGGTCAACATGGTGAAACCCCGTCTCTACTAAAAATATAAAAATTAGCTCGGCATGGTGGTGCACGCCTGTAGTCCCAGCTACTCGGGAGGCTGAGGCAGGAGAATTGCTTGAACCCAGAAGGCAGTGAGCAGAGATCATGCCATTGCACTGCAGTCTGGGTAACAACAGCGAAACTCCGTCTCAAAACAATTGAAAAAATTAAATAATTCAGTGGCAGACAATTAATTAGACTGAGGTGGCTCTAGTCCCTGCAGTCCTCCGTTTGAAAAAAATATATAAAATGCTAGGCCGGGCGCGGTGGCTCAAGCCTGTAATCCCAGCACTTTGGGAGGCCAAGGCGGGTGGATCACGAGGTCAAGGGATTGGGACCATCCTGGTCAACATGGTGAAACCCCGTCTCTACTAAAATTACAAAAAAAATTAGCTGGGTACGGTGGTGCATGCCTGTAATCCCAGCTGCTCGGGAGGCTGAGGCAGGAGAATTGCCTGAACCCAGGAGGCAGAGGTTGCGGAGAGCCGAGATCGCGCCATTGCACTCCAGCCTGGGTAACAAGAGCGAAACTCCGTCTCAAAAAAAAAAAAAAATACAGCATTATATATATATATATATATATGTATTTTTTTTTTTTGAAATTATACTACATCAGAGAAAACAAAATTTGGGCTTAAACAACTTAACCAACTGCCAATTAAACTTCAATTATATAAGGAGAAAATTGCCAACATGATCGTATATATCAAGAGACGAGGTAACTGACCTAACCAGTTACTAAATTTGATTTTCTTCATGCACCTGATAAAAGTCAAGCTCCTTCCATAGACTACAAACTACAAACCATAGCTGAGTGCTCTACAGTACTTGAACCACTTTATGATTAAGTGCTTTAATACTATTCGGTGACTTTTTTTTTTTTTTTTGGAGACATTTTCAATTTTGTTGCCCACGCTGGAGAGCAGTGGTGCGATCTCGGCTCACTGCAACCTCCGCCTCCCTGGTGCAAGCGATTTTCCTGCCTCAGCCTCCTGAATAGCTAAAATTACAGGCGCGCGGCACACGTTCGGCTAATTTTTGTATTTTTTAAATAGAGATGGGGTTTCACCACGTTGGCCAGGATGGTCTCAAACACCTGACTTCAGATGAACCACCCAACTCGGCCTCTCAAAGTGCTGGGATTACAGGCGTGAGGCACCGCGCGTGGCCCCCACACGTTTATAATTAAAAAAACAACAACAACAAAAAAAAAAAAAAGGAACTGGAAACCCCACAGGCAAAGAGGAACTGGGAACCCCAAAGACCGAAGCTCTTCCCATTCATTAATCCATACCTCCAGTCAGGATTCTCCCCTGACTACCTTCCCGAGATATCTGCACAATCTGAGAGAGACGGGGCACTGCGGTGCAGAGCTGCCCGGAGAGGGCTCCAGACCAGGGCACAGTCACTGTGCAGGGAAGAGACATGAGCCCTGGGCCCGGATTTCTGCACAGCCGCCATCTTATGGGTTAAGGGGACTGAGGCCGAGCTGGGCAACAAGAACTCCGGGTGCAGAGTGCGGAGCTGCCTGCTGGGAGGCCTGAGTCCCACCACAGCCGCTTCCCGCCGGTTTCAATCAGCTCCTCCCCCTCTCGGGTTGTTGACAACGCACTCTCACCATTTCTAGGCTTGCAGGGGGTCCCGGCGTCTTCGCTGTGGATCTCCGAATACCTGCAGGTCACAGGCCGCCAAGGCTGGGCCTCTAGGAGCAAAAGACACAGACAACTGAGGACAAGACCTGGAACTCCGGCGGCAGCTACAGACAAAGGACCCGCCACTTCCTGGAAACCGCCTTCCCCGCTCCAGCTGCGTGCTTGATTGGACGGTTCCCAGCCAAGCGTTCCTGATTGGATAATATTTAAGTCACCGTGTTTTCAGGCCCTGAGTGACAGAAAATGTGCTCAGATGCTGGCTGGGCTGAATGAAAAGAGTGACAGCCTAGGCTGCAGCCTTTTCAGACAGGGCTTCCTCCCTGAGCTGAGCCAGGCTCACCGCAGAGGATATTTGCCCTTAACATTGTGTATCATGTTATATACATTCAAACATAATATATTATACAGCTATTTATCAACGAAGAAAGAATAACAACAATTGTTCTAACATTTAAGATTTTGTGACCTTTATGGTTTCTGTTCCTTTGAGCACGCAATCCTCTGAAATAAAATGTGAGCCACGTTTCAAACGATTCTTCTGCCTCAACCTCTTGAGTAGCTGGGATTACAGATCGCTGAACAGATATGAAAACAGTTTTCTTCTCCTGAGGTCCCAACATCATTTGTTCGCTGTCTGATCTCTGAAAGAAAGGTGGGCCGGGCGCGGTGGCTCACGCCTATAATCCCAGCACTTTGGGAGGCAGAGGCGGGTGGATCACGGGGTCAAGAGATCGAGACCATCCTGGTCAACAAGGTGAAACCCCGTCTGTGCTAAAAATACAAAAATTAGCTGGGCATGATGGTGCGCGCCTGTAGTCCCAGCTACTCGGGAGACTGGGGCAGGAGAATTGCTTGAACCCAGAAGGCGGAGGTTGCAGTGAGCTGAGATTGTGCCATTGCACTCCAGTCTGGGTAACAACAGGGAAACTCCGTCTCAAAAAAAAGAAAAAGAAAGAAAGGTGGGCAACAGGCTGTTCAGGCCCTCCACCCGCTTCACGTCAGAGCTACACTTCAATGTAGCAGCTGTTGGCCATGTGTGTCTCCTGCGTTCCTGGAATGCAGCTAGAATGGTCGGAACTACAATGTGCTAGAAAGATAGAATACAGAGTTACTCTTAGGGTTTTTGTAAAAAATGTATATATACGGCCGGGCGCGGTGGCTCAAGCCTGTAATTCCAGCACTTTGGGAGGCCGAGGTGGGTGGATCACGAGGTCAAGAGATCGAGACCATCCTGGTCAACATGGTGAAACCCCGTCTCTACTAAAGATACATAAAATTAGCTGGGCATGGTGGCACGTGCCTGTAATCCCAGCTACTCAGGAGGCTGAGGCAGGAGAATTGCCTGAACCCAGGAGGCGGAGGTTGCGATGAGCCGAGATCGCGCCATTGCACTCCAGCCTGGGTAACAAGAGCGAAACTCTGTCTCAAAAAAAAAAAAAAAAGAAAAGTAACAATCAGAATGTCAAAAGTCCCCTGGCCTTCGGAATGTCCGGAGCCCCTCACCCTCATCTCCGCGTAGGAGGTGATTTATAGAATCCACTAGCCCTCAGAATGTCTGAAATCCCTCACCCCCTACCCCTGCCCCTCACCCTCACCCCGAGGTGGTTTTACAGGTATAAAAGGTCTTGACACCCTCCTTTGGGGGCCATGGGCTGGAGAGCCGGGAGTCCTCTGTGGCTGCAGGCAGTAAAGACCCTGCAATTTGGCATATTTCTGTCTTGGTGTTGATTTTCTTTTTTTTTCTTTTTTCTTTTTTTTTTTTTTTGAGACGGAGTTTCACTGTTGTTACCCAGACTGGAGTGCAATGGCACGATCTCGGCTCACCTCAACCTCCACCTTCTGGGTTCAAGCAATTCTCCTGCCTCAGCCTCCCAAGTAGCTGGGACTACAGGCACGCACTACCATGCCCAGCTAATTTTTTTGTATTCTTAGTAGAGACGGGGTTTCACCTTGTTAACCAGGATGGTCTCAATCTCTTGACCTCGTGATCCACCCGCCTCGGCCTCCCAAAGTGCTGGAATTATAGGCGTGAGCCACTGTGCCCAGCCGGTGCTGACTTTCTATGCTCACTCCATTACAACACTCTAAGCCATTGAAAAAACAGACCTAACAAATAATGGCCACTCAGAAGAGTAATGGCCTCCTGGCAATGCTCTGTAACCTATTGTGAGTAAGTTTCTTTTTAACTTAATATTGCTTTAAGAGCAGTAGACCACCGGGCGCGGTGGTTCAAGCCTATAATCCCAGCACTTTGGGAGGCTGAGGCAGGTGGATCACGAGGTCAAGAGATCGAGACCATCCTGGTCAACAAGGTGAAACCCCCGTCTCTACTAAAAATACAAAAATTAGCTGGGCGTGGTTGTGCGCGCCTGTAATCCCAGCTACTCGGGAGGCTGAGGCAGGAGAATTGCCTGAACCCAGGAGGCAGAAGTTGCAGGGAGCCGAGATCGTGCCATTGCACTCCAGCCTGGGTAACAAGAGCGAAACTCCGTCTCAAAAAAACGAAAACAAAAACTGTGAACTGAGAGTATCGTGATAGCAGAGATGTCTTCATTTTTGATCATGTGAAAAAAGGTGTCTATCTCAAGGTTACCATCTGCTTTTGAGGAGAAACTTCTCTGGTTAGCTGTACCTCAAGAGCTGCAGTTGTGGGGGGAAGACCCCATAAGGACCAAGGCACGAGTCAGAAGCCTCAGCCTATCTTTGTTATTCAAATGTGATCTTAGTTATTCATAGGTGATTCTAGTTCTTTTACTAATGCCTTTCAGGTTCTGAAGTGTAAACCTGGGGTGACATAGTTAAAGGAATAACCCTAAGGCAAGATGCTTTAAGCCCTCTCTCATGCAGGCCCGTGCCTGTGTAAGGGCTGCTGGAGGGCACCTTGGATCTGTGGCAGCACCAGCGCTAGGAAAGCCCCTGCTGTTTAGCCAGTTAGGGAAGAAGACATCCAAGATGGCTAAGGTGTCTCCTCCCTTCTGGAGTTAGGAGAAAACTTCGTTCCCTCAAACTCTTGTGGTAGGCTGACAACTGTCAGGTAGTTCTGCAGACATCTGGGGTCTTAATTGTCTCTATGTGATGCTTTGCTTCAGTGGTCACATTCCATGTCCACTCTTGTGTTCTGTTTCTGCACCTGGTTCCTTTTTTCTTAGAAGAGATAATCAGTAAAAGTAATATAAATCTTAATGTCTTTGTTCTTTCTTGACAAGTATGGGAAAGCGCTGATGCATTATGCTCCTTACCTCATCTCGGCTACCAGAAAGTCTTGGGCCCTTATCTATATGACATGTGATGTACTTGACCCTACCGACCACAAATGCCACACCCTAACCACCCTGCCCACAGCTTTGTACTCATAAAAAGTCAGTGTGCGGACACTGTGTGATGTTGATGATTCTAACTTTTGGCTTGGAGTGTATACAAGAACCGCAGTTTTTCTTGTGTGCTGGGTTGTTTAATAATGCTCCATATACCCACCAAGTGTTTTATACACCATGCATGGGAGCTGAAACCTTCCCTGACACCTTCATGCTGGTATAGACACATGATCTTACCTGTGGTCTTAGTCCAACAGAAGAGTCAAAATGTTTCTTTTTTTTTTTTTATTTGAGACGGAGTTTTGCTCTTGTTACCCAGGCTGAGTTGCAATGGCACAATCTAGGCTCACTGCAACCTCCACCTCCTGGGTTCAAGCAATTCTCCTGCCTCAGCCTCCTGAGTAGCTGGGATTACAGGCACGTGCCACCATGCCCAGCTAATTTTTGTATTTTTAGTAGAGACAGGGTTTCACCATGTTGACCAGGATGGTCTTGATCTCTTGACCTTGTGATCCACCTGCCTTCACCTCCCAAAGTGCTGGGATTATAGGCTTGAGCCACCGCGCCCGGCCTTCTCTGTGACTTTTATACAAGAATGAAATCCGTTACCTTACCTACTTCCTTAAGGCTAGCTGTGAGAGTCAGAATGTCTCCTGTTCACTGAGATTGGGTATGAGAGTCATCACTGTGCCTGTGCGCTGGGTTCATTTAAATCTGATAATTTTTTCTGTAGTCTTGGCTCAGGCAGAAGAGCTACATCACCTGAAGGCTGGCCCATGTGTATGTCACAATGTCTCCTATGGTTGAGGCCCAGCAGAAGAGTCACATCACCTAGGTTTGGGACCTAGTATATTACAATCCACTGTTCCGCAGGTCTCAGGCAAGAAAACCACATCACCTAGGTACTGGGCCTGGTATCTGTCACAGTCCCTCCTGTTGCTTTGGCTTATGTTGGAGATTTACATCACCTAGCTTCTGGAATTAACTGTACATCACAATCCCACCTATGACCTTGGCTCAGGCAGAAGAGTTATACTGAACTATGTGTATGTCACAATCCCCTCTATAGGCAGGTCCGAGGTAAGAGAGACACATCATCTAGGTGCTGAGCTCTGGTATATTCTCAAAATGTCTTTTGTTGGCTTGGCTCAGGTTATATATACACCTCACACAGATGCTGAGCTGAGGTGTCTGTTACAATATTCCCTGTGGGCTCTGCTCAGGATACAAAATCACATCATCTAAGTGTTGGGCCCAGGTATATGTCACAATGCCCCTTGTGACTTTGGCCAGGCATGAGAGTCAGAACACATAGGTGCTTGGTTCAGTATGACTTATCTTAACGAAAATCAAATGTGACAACCATTTAAAAATTTTGTCACATTTTTCACATTTCTAGAATTTCTCACCAGTATGATTACTTTTCGGTTGTAAGTGTGAGGTGTTATCAAAATTATTGTCACATCCTTCAGGTTAGTCAAGTTTCTCTCTAGTATAAATTTTCTTTCTTTCTTTTTTTTTTTTTTTGAGATAGAGTTTCGCTGTTGTTACCCAGGCTGGAGTGCAATGGCACGATCTCGGCTCACTGCAACCTCCGCTTCTGGGTTCAAGCAATTCTCCTGCCTCAGCCTCCCGAGTCGCTGGGACCACAGGCGTGCACCACCATGCCCAGTTAATTTTTGTATTTTTAGTAGAGACGGGGGTTTCACCTTGTTGACCAGGATGGTCTCGATCTCTTGACCTTGTGATCCACCCGCCTCGGCCTCCCAAAGTGCTGTGATTATAGGCGTGAGCCACCGTGCCTGGCCGGACTTTCTTATGGTTAGTAAGATTTGTGAATGGCTTTGCCACACCCTTTACATTTGTAAGGTTTCTTCTCTTCAGTATGATCCAAGATCGAAAAAAAAAAAAAAAAAAGAAGAAAAAGAAAGAAATGCTAACTGTAAATGAGTATGTTATGTTAAAAAATAAAACGGCCGGGCGCAGTGGCTCACCCCTGTAATCCCAGCACTTTGGGAGGCCCAGGCGGGTGGATCACGAGGTCAAGCGATCGAGACCATCCTGGCCAATATGGTGAAACCCCGTCTCTACTAAATAATAAAAAAAAAAAAATTAGCCGGGCATGGTGGCACATACCTGTAATCCCAGCTACCTGGGAGGCTGAGACAGGAGAATCGTTTGAACCCAGGAGGCGGAGGTTGCGGTGAGCCAAGAATTCGCCATTGCACTTCAGCCTGGGTAACAAGAGCAAAACTCCGTCTTTAAAAAAAAATTAAATAAATAAAATAAAATGATGCTAAATAACATCATAAAAACATATATAAATAAAAAGCTCTCAGCCGGGCGCAGTAGCTCACGCCTATAACCCCAGCACTTTGGGAGGCCGAGGCGGGTGGATCATGAGGTCAAGAGATCGATCCTGGTCAACGAGGTGAAATCCCGTCTCTACTAAAAATACAAAAATTAGCTGGGCATGGTGGTGTGCACCTGTAGTCTGAGCTACTCCGGAGGCTGAGGCAGGAGAATTGCTTGAACCCAGAAGGCGGAAGTTGCAGTGAGCTGAGATCGTGCCATTGCACTCCAGCCTGGGTAACAACAGCGAAACTCCATCTCAAAAAAAACAAAAAACAAAAAACCTCTCTATTAAGTGTAAATATATCAACACATATAAAAATATTTATAATCATAATGATGCACAAAACTCTTAAAGTTCCTCTATAGAAGAAGAAAAACAAAATACAAATCTATTAATAGATATACAGCATAAAATAATGTTTAATATAAATAACAAACAAAAATAAAGAGGTATCGATTTTTAATTCAATTTTTCATACGATTATAACATATTGTTTTAAATTTAAGATTTTCTGGCTGGGTGAGCTGGTTCATGTCTATAATCCCAGCACTTTGGGAGGCCAAGGCAGGTGGATCATGAGGTCACGAGATAGAGACCAAACTGGCCAACATTGTGAATCAGAACAATTGCTTGAACCCATGAGGCAAAGGTTTCAGTGGGTTCGTCTCTACTAAAAATACAAAAATTAGCTTGGTATGGTGTCACAAACCTGTAGTCCCAGCTACTCAGGAGACTGAGGCAGGAGAATCATTGGAACCCAGGGGACAGAGTTTGCAGTGACCTGAGATCACGCCACTGCACTCCAGGCTGGCAACGTGTGAGACTCTGTCTCAAAAAAAAAAATTTTTTTTTCATGATAATTACAAAGATAATATTTATAGAATGTAAAGAAAAATGAAAAAATTAAGCATTTCACTACATAAAGTAAAAATAAAGGCAGTAAAACAGAAAATTAGAAAAAACGTATCTACAGGAAACACATAAAACAATAACACTAAAACTGTTAACAGTAACCACATTTCTTCTGGTTTTTCGTTTTGTTTTGTTTTGTTTTGTTTGTTTTGTTTGAGACGGAGTCTTGCTCTGTCACCACGCTGGAGTGCAATGGCGCAATCTCGGCTCACTGCAACCTCTGCCTTCTGGGTTCAAGCGATTCTTCCCCCTCAGCCTCCCGAGTAGCTGGGACTACAGGTGCGTGCCACCACGCCCAGCTAATTTTTGCGTTTTTGGTAGAGACGGGGTTTCATCATGGCCAGGATGGTCTCCATCTCTTGACCTCGTGATCCGCCCACCTCGGCCTCCCAAAGTGCTGGGATTACAGGCGTGAGCCACCGCGGCCGGCAGTAACCATATTCTCCGCGGCCGGCAGTAACCATGTGGTTTTTTTTTTTTTTTTTTTTTTTTTCCCCGAACACACTGTGGCTTTATTATTAACAGATGCCAAAAGCACACGTCTCAGAACTGTGCTGGAGGCAGTGACCCAGAGGCGGCAGGACACCACGGCTCCTCCCTCTGGGGCAGAAAGGAGGGTGCGTGGGAAGTTCGAGGACAGCAGTGGGGTGGCAGAGAACAAAGCAGCATTCTCAATGGCAGACAGTGGCAGGAGGGGCCTGAGGCATGGGCAAGTCCACGAGTCCAGTGAGGCCGCAACTCACTTGAGGCGGTAGAGAACTTTGCGCTGCATGCGATGCTGGATCTCGCCCCGCCGCAGCATGAGCTGCAGCACCTTGAGGATGGCATGTTCCGGGTATTTCTGCTTGGTGAAGTCCTTGATAATGCTGTGCTCAGACACCTGGGAGCCAATGGCAAAGCGGCGCTTGAGCTGCTTCTCGATGCGGCTCAGCATCTCCTGGTCCTCCTGGCTGGTGAAGCCCTCCACCCCTGACAGGGTACCGGACAAGGCAGCATCCAACGTGGACACTTGGAAGAGCCGCAGGGCCTCCTCCACATCTGCCTCTGTGGCGAAGGGCTGCAGCTTCATCTTGCTGAGGGCTTCAGCGATTCGCACAATGGCCTCCAGCTGCCGCACAGTGATGGGGATGCTGGAGCGGCGGTCACTGTCCCTCTCGTGCTGACGGGCCCCGCTCCGCATGATGATGTAGCGGTTCTTCAGCTTCTCTGCGGCCTCTGCTGACAGCCGGGGGCCGCACCTCGCTCGGCAGTAGGCAATAAACTTCTTCAGCTTGGCCAGGTCGATCTCGCCCTCCACGGCCTGTGTCTGTGTCAGTGCACTTACGTGCAGAGTAATGACATGCTTGGCCAGCATCACATCCCTCTCCTCATTGTGCTCATCCTTGACAATGAAGATCATATCGAAGCGCGACAAGATGGTAGGCATGAAATCAATGTTGTCCTCCCCCTTCGTCTCATCCCAGCGGCCAAACACTGAGTTGGCAGCAGCCAGGACGGAGCAGCGAGAGTTCAGGGTGGTGGTGATCCCAGCCTTGGCAATAGAGATGGTCTGCTGCTCCATGGCTTCATGGATTGCCACACGGTCGTCTTCTCGCATCTTGTCAAACTCATCAATACAGACGACCCCACCATCAGCCAGGACCATGGCTCCACCTTCCATGATGAAATTCCGGGACGAAGGGTCCCTCATCACCGAGGCTGTCAGTCCGGCTGCACTGCTCCCTTTCCCAGACGTGTAAACCCCAATGGGAGAACACTTCTCCACAAACTTCAGAAGCTGGGACTTGGCTGTCCCAGGGTCCCCTAGCATCAGCAGGTTGATGTCTCCTCGGCGAGTAAGTCCATCAGGGAGCCTCTTTCGGGATCCCCCAAAGAGCAGGCAGGCAATGGCCTTCTTCATATCCGTGCCCCCAAAAATGGAGGGGGCGATGCTCTTGGAGATGACCTCATAGACATTGGGGAGGGCGGCCAGACCACGGAACTCCTCCTCCTCCTGCGGGCTCACGGCCCCAGCAAAGCTGCGGCCAGAGCCATCTGTGTCCACCTGGATGCCCAGGACACGGATATAGGAACTTCGGATGCCCACGCCCACGGAGTTTCGCTCTTGTTACCCAGGCTGGCGTGCAATGGTGCGATCTCGGCTCACCGCAACCTCCGCCTCCTGGGTTCAGGCAATTCTCCTGCCTCAGCCTCCTGAGTAGCTGGGATTACAGGCACGCGCCACCATGTCCAGCTAATTTTTGTATTTTTAGTAGAGACGGGGTTTCACCTTGTTGACCAGGATGGTCTCGATCTCTTGACCTCGTGATCCACCCACCTCAGCCTCCAAAGTGCTGGGATTACATCTTTTTTTTTTTTTGAGTCGGAGTTTCGCTCTTGTTACCCAGGCTGGAGTGCAAATCGCGCGATCTCGGCTCACCGCAACCTCCGTCTCCTGGGTTCAAGCAATTCTCCTGCCCCAGCCTCCCGAGTAGCTGGGATTACAGGCAGGCGGCACCATGCCCAGCTAACTTTTGTATTTTTAGTAGAGACGGGTTTCACTTTGTTGACCAGAATGGTCTCGATATCTTGACTTTGTGATCCACCCGCCTTGGCCTCCCAAAGTGCTGGGATTATAGGCATGAGCCACCGTGTGCGGCTGAAACCCTGTCTTAAAAATAAATAGATAGATAGATAGATAGATAGATAGATAGATAGATAGATAGATAGATAAAATTATAAAAAGAAAAAATAAAATGACTGAATGGTTTAAGAAAATAGCATACTGGGCAGGGCGCGGTGGCTCACGCCTGTAATCCCAGCACTTTGGGAGGCCGAGGTGGGTGGATCACGAGCTCAAGAGATCGAGACCATCCTGGTCAACATGGTGAAACCCCGTCTCTACTAAAAATACAAAAATTAGCTGGGCATGATGGCACGTGCCTGTAGTCCCAGCTACTCAGGAGGGTGAAGCAGGAGAATTGCTTGAACCCAGGAGGTGGAGGTTGCGGTGAGCCGAGATCACACCATTGCACTCCAGCCTTGGTAACAAGAGCGAAACTTCGTCTCAAAAAAAAAAAAAAAAGAAAGAAAGAAAATAGCATACAATATGCTCCCTAGAAGTGACTCATTTTAGGCCAGAAACAGGGGCTTATCCTGTAATCTCAACACTTTGGGGCGCTGAGGCTGGAAGATCACTTGAAGTCAGAAGTTTGAGACCAGCTTGGACAATATGGCAAAACTCCATCTCTACTAAATAAATATACATACATATATATATGAAAATTAGGAGGGGGGTGGCACGTGCCTGTAATTGCAGCTATTCAACATGCTAGACACAGGAATCACTTGAACCTGTAAGGCAGAGGTTGCAGTGAGTGGAGATTGTGCCACCACTCCAGCCTGTATGACAGAGAAAGACTGTCTTAAAGAAAAAAAAATAGTTAGCATTGAGTCAAATAGGCTGAAAGTGACAGAATGGAAAAACTCTGTATTCCATGCAAATAGTAACCACAACTGTGTGAGATATTCGTAATCATATTACACATAATAAGCGATGTCTCAAGTACTAGCATGAAACAAAGATTGATATTATATAATAGTATAATGAGTCAATTTATCTACTTTTTTATATGTATATTTATATGTATTTACAACATTAGGGCTCCAAAATATGTAAAGCAAATACTCAGAAAAGTAAAGCAAAAAAATACCTAGCGACATAATAATTGTAGACATCAAGACCCCATTTTTTTTTTGAGATGGAGTCTCACTCTGTCACCCAGGCTGGAGTGCAATGGCACAATCTTGGCTCACTGCAACCTCTGCTTCCCAGGTTCAAGCAATTCTCCTGCCTCAGCCTCCTGTAGCTGGGATTATAGGCATGTGCCACTGTGCCCAGCTAATTTTTGTATTTTTAGTAGAGATGGGCTTTCACCATCTAGGCCAGGCTGGTCTCAAACTCCTGACCTCGTGATCCACCCACCTCAGCCTCCCAAAGTGCTGGGATTACAGGCGTGAGCCACCGCACCCGGTAGGACCCCATTTTTAATAATAGAAAATTCAGATAAAAGATCAATAAGAAAACAGAAAACTGTGCTTGCCTTGGCAGCACATACACTAAAATTGGAAAACAGAAAACTTAGACAAGATTATAAACTATATTAATTTTTTTTTTTTTGAGACGGAGTTTCCCTCTTGTTACCCAGGCTGGAGTGCAATGGTGTGATCTCGGCTCACTGCAACCTCCACCTCCTGGGTTCAGGCAATTCTCCTGCCTCAGACTCCTGAGTAGCTGGGATTACAGGCACGGGCCACCATACCCAGCTAATTTTTTGTATTTTTAGTAGAGACGGGGTTTCGCCTTGTTGACCAGGATGGTCTCTATCTCTTGAGCTTGTGATCCACCCGCCTCGGCCTCCCAAAGTGCTGGAATTATAGGCGTGAGCCACCGCGCCCGGCCAAGAGTAAATAATTTATAAATAAGAAAAGGTTTATTTGGCTCATAGTTCAGCAAACTGTACAAGAATTGTGTGCCAGCATCTGCCTCTGGTGGAAGATCTCAGTAAGTTTCCACAATGGTGGAAGACCAAGAATAACTGGACATATCACATGGTAAGAGACAGAGCAACCGTGACGGGAAGGAGCCAGGTTCTTTTAATGAGCCAGCTCTCATCTGAATTAACAGAGTATACATTTTTTGATGCCCGAGATGATTGTACAAAGCCATTCATGAGAAATTCAACCCCATGATCCAAATATCTCCCACCAGGTTCCACATCCAACACTGAGGATTACTTTTCAGCATGAGATTTTGAAGAACATAAACACCAAAACCCTATCACGGACCTACTAGGCTTAACAGACATGTACAAAATTTTTCAGTCAAAATCAAGAGAATACACCATATTTTTATTTGCACCTTGTGTGTTCTGTTAGAACACATAACAAATGTTATTAAAGAATCCTCGCGGACGGCACAGTGGCTCATGCCTGTAATCCTAGCACTTTGGGAGTCTGAGGCGGGTGGATCACAAGGTCTGAAGTTCAAGACTAGCCTGGCCAAGATGTTGAAACCTTGTCTCTACTAAAAATACAAAAATTAGCTGGGCGCGGTGGCATGTGCCTGTAATCCCAGCTACTCAGGAGGCTGAGGCAAGAGAATTGCTTGAACCTGGAAGGCAGAGGTTGCAGTGAGTTGAGATCGCATCATTGCACTCCAGCCTGGGTGACAGAGTGAGACTCTGTCTCAAAAAAAAGAAAAAAGAATACTGGCTGGGTGAAGTGGCTCATGCCTATAATCCCAACACTTTGGGAGACCAAGGTGGGAGGATCACTTGGGGCCAGAAGTCTGAGACCAGGCTGGGCAACAAAGTGAGACCCTGTCTCTACAAACAATCAAAAAATTAGCCAGACATAGTAGTGCATGTCTGTAGTCCAAGCTACTCGGGAGGCTGAAGTGAAAGGACCGCTTGAGCCCAGAAGGTTGAGACTGCATTGAGCCAAAATCATGCTACTGCATTTCAGGCTGGGTGACAAAGTAAAATACTGTGTCAAAACAATGAAAACAACACATATATTTAAGAAGACAAAAATTATACACTCTGTGTTTTCTCACCAAAATTGAATGCAACTAGGAATTAAAAGCAAAAGTAAAACTGGCAAATCCAAAAATATGTAAAAATAAAACACATTCAGGCCAGGCACGGTGGCTCACTCTTGTAATCCCAGCACTTTGGAAGGCGCAGGCGGGTGGATCACTATGTCAGGAGTTTGGGACCGGCCTGACCAACATGGAGAAACCCCGTCTCTACTAAAAATACAAAATTAGCCAGGTGTGTGGCACATGCCTGTAATCCCAGCTACTTGGGAGGCTGAGGCAGGAGAATCACTTGAACATGGGAGGCAGAGGTTGCAGTGAGCCAAGAAAGCACCACTGCACTTCGGCCTGGGCAACAAGAGCAAAACTCCATCTCAAAAATAAATAAATAAATAAAATAATAATAAATAAAACACACTCTTCCACATGTTCTTGCTCAAGGTTAAAAACATTCACCTTTTCAAAGATGTCAATACAACCAACAGTGGCAAACAAATTCAATATAATCTAAATAGAAATTCCGATAGCAGGCTGGGCACAGTGGCTCACGCCTATAAGCCCAGCACTTTGGGAGGCCGAGGCGGACAGATAATCTGAGGTCAGGAGTTGGAGACCAGCGAGACCAACATGGAGAAACCCCAGCTCTATTAAAAATACAAAATTAGGCTTGAGGTTGGGAGTTCAAAACCAGTCTGACCAACATGGAGATACTCCGTCTCTGCTAAAAATACAAAAAAAGTTAGCCAGGCATGGTGGCGCGTGACTGTAATCCCAGTTACTCGGGAGGCTGAAGTAGGAGACTCGCTTGAACCTGTGAGGAAGAGGTTGCAGTGAGCCAAGATTGTACCATTGCACTCCAACCTAGGCAATGAGGGAAATTCCATCTGAAAAAAAATTGATTATAAACTATAGCCAAACACCCATGAACAAGAACAGAAGCATTATGTTTCCTAATTTAAAAACATAATAGGGGAGGCACAGTAGCTCACACCTATAATCCCAGAACTTTGGGAGGCCAAGGCAGGTGGATCTTGAGGTCAGGAGTTTGAGACCAGTCTGCCCAAAATATGAAAAATTAGACGGACATGGGAGTGGGCACCTGTAATCCCAGCTACTCAGGAGGCTGAGGCAGGAGAATCACTTGAACCCAGGAGGCGGAGGTTGCCGTGAACCAAGATCACGTCATTGCACTCCAGCACAGCTGACACTGTGAGACTCCGTCTCAAAAAACCAAACAAACAAAATATAATAAAAGCTACAATAACAAAAACAATATGGTACTGACACAAAGACAGATCAACAGATGAAAAAACAAAATAGAGAGTACAGAAATTAACTCTTCTGTATAGGATCAAATGATCTTCCATACAGCTGCTGTAAGGACACCATAGAAAAAAAAGATAATCGGGCTGGGTGCGGTGGCTTACGCCTGTAATCCCAGCACTTTGGAAGGCCGAGGTGGGTGGATCACGAGGTCAACAGATCGAGACCATCCTGGTCAACAAGGTGAAACACCATCTTTACT